CCACTAAGATGAGAACTTACCCGTTCTCGAAAGTACCTCAGCGAGGCCACGTCTTGCCAAGACGTCGGAGGGCACTGCGCCTCATCCTTGCGTTCTCCAGCTCTCCGAGCTCACGAACACCTTTGCATCTCTGATGCGTAACCCTTCGCCTGCGGCCCACGGCCAAACGTCATCAGCGCGTCGCGCATCAAGTTGCCACGAGGTCCCAGACCATTTGCGCACGTCGTGCCTGCTCCGAGAGTTGCCACACATACCTTCGTGGCCGGGCACCACGCTGCCTACATGGCACACGCTCAATGAGCTGCCAACATGATGTGAGCCAAGCTCAAGAGCCTTGAGCTCCATGTGATTTGTTAGAAAAAAATAAAACTAAACATTACTTTGCAAAAAGTGTCATGCCGTTATCGCGAATAGTTAGCACTGCGGTCATGCGACCAGCGTGCTTATTCGCACTCAGAATTCGTGCGGAGTCCTTTCGTCCTTTGCGTACCCACGACTTTATTGTCAACATGTCAAACAGTATGGCTGTTTCGTCGGCGTTTAGAATGTCCCACCTTCGGAAGCACTATACTTTGGCAAAACTCCAACGAAAACTTCGCGCGAGTCTCTTCAAGGCCTTCATAGGATAAGCGCCGCTTGAGGCTTTTGAGATGAAAATCCGTGGCTGTTTAGCACGAAATAGGATATTGAATTATGAAATTAATACAATTATAAATATTTGCAAGATAAATGAAATAATAACCATCCAGCGAAACGTTGTATTATGCGCTTAAGCGCAAGCTCTCCCGCTTCATTTTCGTTTATGTAGATTGTCATCCACTCGGGATGAACATACCACATGAACTGAATCATGCCTGCAGTTGGTAGGACCTATATGTTTATGCAATTAAAATTAGTCCGAGATTATAATAGCACAAACGGCACGACTTACTTGCTCCAATTGCCGCACATTTCTCGTGTAAGTTAGAAGATCAGAGACGCCAGGAAATTTCCAGGCGTCCCTGGCCTTATAGCGTTTTCGATGAGTGCTGTCCCTTGGTATTTGGTATAGCATCCTCCTGCTTGCGTCAGTCGTAGATAGTTCCTCGCGCGATTTTTTTCCCTTTTCCGAGGCGGCGTTAATGCCCTCATGCTTAGCGAGCGTCAAGGCCTCGCGTTTTTTTTTTTGCCTCATTGTGAAGCTTCGTCCAACACGCTTCATCGCGCAAAATGGCTTGATTATTAGTGACGCGCAAGCAATGCTTTATCTCCAGCCATTCATTTTTTTTTTTAATGTTTTTGGACTAAAAGTCTTTGTTAAAGGAAATGATTGGTAAAAAAAAAAATCAAAAAAAATTCTATGGGAGAGAGTCGTTCTCACAACCACAAGCCGGATTTTTATGTCTGTCAGATTTCTCCGTCGTTGTCCGTAATGCTGTAGTCAGAACCACTGTCAGAACAGTAAGGCAGCTCCAGGCCTCCGTTTAGTATCACAGACGGTCGGTCCTGCTCGTCGTTTGTCGTGGTAACGTCCACACGCTTCGTACAAGACCGCTTGTTCCCGTCCCAAATATTAGTCTTTTTTGCTCCTTTTCTCGGCGATAATGGCATACTTTCCCACTTCGTCAAGATCGGGACATCCCCCCCCCCCCCCCCAGTAATCTTTTCCGCAATGAAAACAGCCCGTCCTTGACGTGATCTTCGCGGCTGGAGCTGACGGTGATTTCGATGCAAGAACAGTGCGTGGTTGTTCGTCATTAGATCGTGGTTCCGTGCCGGAGGATGTTTGATCATTGCTCTGACGCGAGCCACGATCAGTTCCACCCTTGGACATCCCTCCGTTGTTCTTCCAGTTCGACTGCTGCCTGCACGTGAACAGTACTTGGCCCACCATTGCCTGCTCCATCTCCTTCTCTTTTACAAGGGCATACAAAGCGTTCTCATCAGATTTTCTTGTGGAGTCCACAAGACAGAGGTGGTTGTCCACCGCGTCGTGCAGAGCTGCAGGTGCCAAATGCTTCTTCAGTAATCGACACTCTTCCTTATCCCAGTTGCAGTGGCGAAAGTGCTCGCCTATCCGTTCTCCAAAATGATTTCATCCAACAGCATGAAATAATTCAAGACACGGGCCTAGACGTCACACTGACCGAGATCCAACTTCAACCGCGCGTTAAAAACCGCGTCGACGTCAAGAATTACGTCATTCATGACGTTGCCAATGATGTTGTGCAACTCGGACACAATCCTGTCCTCCATGATCTCCTCCACAGTAGT